TGTCAATCAGAGCCAGTGAGCCAATGAGAGCGCAGCTGAGCCACGGCTCTGTGTCTTATGGAGAGCGAGCACACACCAGTGCCCCACAGCAAGCAGCTTGCTACTGGGGGCACTGGTCAAGGAGGAGGAGCCAGGAGTGCTAGCGGGGGACTCCAGAAGGAGAGGATCTAGGCTGCTCTGCGCAAAATGTTTGTTTTATTAAAAAAAAAAAAAAATGATTATTTAATACAGCTTTAAAATCAGTCTACATAATGCACTCCTAGTCATTTAGAAAAAAAATTATTGCTGTGCCAGCCACCACTGTTGTGTAGTAGAAGCTTTACTGGATGTCTGCACACATCTGGCTTATAGAGGGGTCTTCTGAAATCCCTTATTAATTGCCTTGGTGATCTAGCAGATGTCCTCTAGATAGCATTAACAGTCACCAACTAATCGTATTAGCATTGATTTGCTCTTACAAACAGATCATGTGTGCATAACTTGATTAATTAGTTTATCCTTTTAAAACCACAGCTGAAATGAATGCCTGCCATAGATCGATCAAATCTTGACTGGTTTAGCAGGGACTGTCTGAGATTCGATCCATCTATGGACAGGGTGGTTGTACCCAAGTCGATCCATCGATCGACTTGGGTACACCCAACTTGTCAGATATTTTACATGTGATTACTGCCATTGGCTATAACAGCCAGCAGAACACATCAACACTGTAGGAGGATTTCCCCTATCAACATTGACTGTGTTGATGGGGAAATAAAGTGATTTTCTTTCCTGCAACCCTGGGTGAATCATCTATGGCTTGTCTAACACATACAATAAAGACAACTCCTAAAATGTCCTCATGACTGATTTAAATGAGTTGACACGGAACACTTTAAGATAGGCTTTACTTAATATAGGTCCTTGTGAGCTACTGTATATAGCATGAAATTTGGGGCCCAGCATGACTATGGTGAGGAAATTTAAGGCAGGTATGAAACACTGTAGTTTATGGCTGCTGCCTTGTTCCTATTTCCCCTTGTTCCTGATCCCAGTTTTGGTTCCCCCTTCCCATCTTCTCCCAGCACCTCCAGTTTTCCCTGCTTTTCTCTGTTCCCCATTTTGTATATATTGCATGTAGTTAGTTGTTAGTTATGTTTTCTGTTTGTTAGATGAATTAGTTAAGTATTATGTCACTGGGTTTTTGGTTCACTTATTTTTTTTTTTTTGTGGTTTGCTGGTGTTTGAATGGATTTAGTTTCACTATAAATAAATCTCAATGAAGGCATACACAGTCTGGTCACAGTTTCTGAGTGTAGCTATGCAGCTTTGGCCATTTCTGCTGCTGCTGATTCCTGATACTACCTGTCTAGAACATAAAGGCTCACGCAATCATTCATACAACATACAGAGAAATAATTTAACTGACATCATAGAGAAACCCCTAATTGCCCCAAATGTAATAGGGGCACAGCAGACCTAATTCAAATGCTATTGAGATGCCCCAAGTTTCATCAATTTTGGAAAGGAATCGTAAATACTGTTAATCTAGTGTTTCAGATCAATCTGGTGGAGGATCCAGGAATATGTTTGCTGAGCATGCTGGATAAGAAATCTTTAAAGTGAAGTTCCAGTTGAATAAAAAAAAAATAAAAGTCAGCAGCTACAAAAACTGTAGCTGCTGACTTTTAAAATACAGACACTCACATGTCCCTCAGTCCAGCGGTGATCTCACCACAGGTGATTTTGCCGGCTATCTTCTCTCCCTGGTGCGGGAATCCTTAGTGTGTGCACCCGGCTGTGACAGCTTGCGGCTTCACAGCCAGGTGCCCACTGTGCATGCGCAAGTAGCGCTGTGCTTTGTGAATGGCCCCATAGTCTTCTGGGGCCAATCATGTGTCCAAGAAGACTATGGGGAGGGAGGACAACTTCCATTTCCGATTGCCTTAGGTGATCACACCGGAAGTGAGAGCGGGTACCTGTCAAATTCGGGTACCCACTGCTCCCCCTGCTCCACAAAGGTGCCAATCCTTAACATAGGTGCTTTTATTTAAGGGAAGCATAATACATATTGTGCACCATCCCTTGCTAAAGGTGCAGATAGTTATTCCCCCAAATGCTAAATATACATAGCTGCTGTAATTTCTGTACAAGTAAAGACCACACAGATTATATAGTATGGTACAATATTTTTTTAATTCAAATTCAAGTCACATGTTTTGTTTTGTTTATACTGGAGAGGAATGAGCAGGATCAGTTAGTAATGTAGCCATACTGATTGATATAACTGTGTCAACTGTATATAATGTATTGCCAACTGATATTCTGTGATATAACAAACCCATATATGTGGAATCTGAATGGGCTGTTTTGCATGTCTAGTTTTGGATGTTACCAACTGTAAAACCGCAAAATCCCAATAAAAATTACCTGAAAAAAACAGGGGAGCTCTGTTAATGAGAAGGACATAGAAGTGAGGTTAGTTAGGCAGAGATGGTAGTGCTGTTATATGGATATGGGTGTACTATTAACTAGATAGACATGGGAATGCTGTTAATTAGATGGACTTGGAATGATATTAGGTAAAGGACATGGGTGTGCTGTTAGACAGATGGAGATAGGAATGCTGATAGTTAAAAGACATGGGTGTGCTCTTGGCTATATAGACATGGAATGCTGTTATTTAGAAGAATAAGGCAATTCTGTTAGTTAGGTGGACATAGGAATGCTGTTATTTAGATGGACATAGGAATGCTGTTATTGGATCTAAACCCTACAATCCTTTTCAGGCAAGGAAGCTGCCATCTTAGCATCTGCTTGATTTGCAACTGTCATGGTGCTGCACATTTGATCAGCTATGACACCAGCCATTTGATGGTTTGATTTTGGTTGAGAGCACACGCATATGTGACAGTTAGCATTCTCGGGATGCCGGGAATGTAACTGTTTTTTTTTAAACTGTTAAAACTATAGGTTGAGTTCCGCTTTAGCCCTGGTTCACACTGATGTGATTTCTGATGCATTCCAGAAGGCATGGAATTGCATGACAGGTGAAAGAACATGAGTTTCTATGGAGCCTGCTCACATACACTAAATTGCCTTCAAATCATTGGATGCAGGTGTTCCAATCAGCTCCATGTCCACAGGTGTATGAAATCAAGCGCCTTGGCATGCAGACTGCTTCTACAAACTTTTGTGAAAGAATGGGTCGCTCTCAGTGAATTCAAGTGTGGTACCGTCAGGTTGCCACCTGTGCAATAAGTCCATCCATGGAATTTCCTTGCTACTAAATATTCCACAGTCAACTGTTAGTGGTGTTATAACAAAGTGGAAGCAACTGGGTACAACAGCAACTCAGCCACGAAGTGGTAGGCCATGTAAAATGACAGAGTGGGGTCAGTGCATGCTGAAGCACACAGTACACAGAAGTCGCCAACTGTCTGCAGAATCAATAGCTAAAGACCTCCAAACGTCACATAGCTTTCAGATTAGCACAACAACAGTGTGTAGAGAATTTCATGGAATGAGTTTCCATGGCCAAGCAGCTGCATAAAAGCCTTACACCACCAAGTGCAATGTAAAGCGTTGGATGCAGTTGTGAAGAGAAAGCCACCATTGGACTCTAGAGCAGTAAAGATGTGTTCTCTGGAGTGACAAATCATGCTTCTCTGTCTGGCAATCTGATGGACATGTCTGGGTTTGGCAGTTGCCAGGAGAACGGTACTTGCTTGACTGCATTGTGCCAAGTGTAAAGTTCGACGACGAGGGGGGATTATAGTGTGAGGTTGTTTTTCAGGAGTTGGATTTGGCTTTTAAGTTCCAGATAAGGGAACACGTAAGGAATCAGCATACCAAGACATTTTGGACACTTTCAAGCTCCAGACTTTGTGGGAATAGTTTGGGGATGGCCCCTTCCTGTTCCAACATGACTGCGCACCAGTGCACAAAGCAAGGTCCATAAAGACATGGATGAGCGAGTTTGAGGTGGAGGAGCTTGACTGGACCGCACAGGAGTCCTGACCTCAATCTGATAGAACACCTTTGGGATGAATTTGAGTGGAGACTGTGAGCCAGGCCTTCTCATCTGACATCAGTGCCTGACTTCACAAATGCACTTCTGGAAGAATGGTCAAACATTTCCACAAACACACTCCTAAACCTTGTGGACAGCCTTACCTGAAGAGCTGAAGCTATTATAGCTGCAAAGGGTGGGCCAACTCAAAATTGAACCCTATGGGCAAAGACTGGGATGCCATTAAAGTTCATGTGCGTGTAAAAGCAGGTGTTCCAAGACTTTTGGCAACCTAATGTATATGCAGTATGAATCTGATGCGATTTGAAAAAGGGTCTTATGCAAGTTTAGTGCAGTACGATTTGTAGCTCCATAGACTTGAATAGAAACTACATCAGTGGACTTTGGGAGAATCTAGTACCAACTTGCACTGGAGCTGCTCCTGAAACTGCACTGAAAAACAGACTCAACTTGCACCACATCAGTGTGAACCTAGGCTTAAAGGACATGGGTGTGTTGTTAGAAAGACATGGAAGTGCTACTAGTTAGCCATGGTAGTGTTGTTAGGCAGAAGAACATGGGTGTGCAGTCGAAGTCTGCTGTGTTTGTAACTAGAAGGATGCTGGAGTGCTGTTTGTTAGAATGACATAGGAGAACTGAATTAGAAGGACATAAAAATGGAAATGACTTAATTTAAACATACATGTGAGTTTCTGTTAGTTAGAAGAACATGGGAGTGCTGTTAGGTTAGAAAGAAGATGGGAGTACTGTTAGTTACAATGAAAAATAAGTACTGTTATGTAGACAACATGGCAGCGCTGTTTGAAGGAAACACACAAAATGTTAATTAGAAGGACCCGATGGTGCTGTTTGCTAAAAAAAAAGGCGGTGTTGTTAATTAGGAGAACATTTAGGTGATATTAATTGGAAGCTCTTGGGAGTGGGGTTAGTTAGACAGACATGGAGGAGCAATTGGAACATTTAAACCTCTTCAACTGTTTATACTGACCTTTGCTAAATCCACTAAGGTGTTAGCTTGATCATTCAACTTTCTCTGTTCCATTTTAACACTTCGTAACCTGCAAAAGATGACTAGAATAAGTATTTTTTTTACATAGCCATGAAAACTCAAATTAGCATGCAAGAGCAGATCATAAAGTATGAGAGATGCCTTGAGAAGTTTGACTGATCAGTTTAGTTATGTGTCTATAGAATGAAACGCATGCTTCTTCAACACAGCAAAGCAGAAAGCAAGAAAGTGTGATGTCCCCAGAGTCATCATGGTTCTAGCTGATTACATAATAAAAAAATAAACCTTACTCCATGGAATAGAGAAGCAGCAAAGTATCATGACAAACAGACACTGGAAAAACAGCTGCAGTGTAGGGAAGACATTAGCGTGTTCTTCCCAGTGTCTGCGTGTGTTGATACAATATTAGGCCTTTTTAGTTTGAGATGGATTGGGTTAGGTGTGTTGATACCTGATGAAAATACAGTGATAAGTGAGAGATTTCACTACAATTATCAATCTTTTACTTGACCAGCAGCTAAAAACTGTATTATTTTTGGCACATAAGAGAATAGTAAGGTAAGCCAGTTTATTTGGTTTAAAACAAACTGACTTCATAATGTTCAGCAGAGTTTCCATAATTGCCTCTGAGTGCCATTTGTATTTGCATTAGCCATCTTTCCAATCAGCTAGTACTAGTACATTCCTTGCTTTACCAGCATAACTGTCCACTAATCAGTACTTGTTGGGTAATCGCTAGTATTTGCAGCGTGAAAAAAAAGTGCAGTGCTCACCCTATAATCCTCAAGAAAGAAATCAAATAATGTGAAATGATCCTGACCTGTCTACATAAATATCACAAATTAATTGAAAATATCATAATATTAAATTACTCCCTTGCATGCAAATATATAAAATATGTGATCTTGTGCTAAATCACAAAAACATTCATCTATCAAAACAAATTATATATACAGTGTCTGAAAACATACTTTATATAAATCTTCAGCACAAAAAATGTCCACCACTTTACATTCACATCAGATATATAACCATCCACCACAAAAAAATGTGAAGGAACATCAATAAGAATAATAATAATCCACTTCTGCTTAAAAATGTGAACCTAAAAAGTGTCTCCAATTCCAAAATCTCCACACAGTGCTCTTCCAATATGCTCCCCCTGAAAAAAGACCTCTAGATTATTGGTCTTTTAGATTTCAATTCGGAGTCATTCCCAGAACAGAACCGCATACACTTGTCAATCTTCTCCCATGATCCCACCTAATACTGGTGTCATTCAAGACTCATGGTGTTCAAGTCACCTTGCAAGGGTTTTCCCATAATTTTAATTTGAAAGAAAAAAAGAATACAGTACTCCACATACACATATTAATAAAAAAAACACCATAAAAGCATACTCACAAAAGACAGGAGCATGCAGTGCTTGTTAGATCTAACCACAATCGCAAACAAGACACTGCTGTACACAGAACTCCTGATGGGTTGCATGCTCCAGCCGGTAACAGCATGATTTTTCTTTCATATTCAACTGAGGGGAAAAAGCTTGGCAAGGGGACTTAAACACTGTGAGTCCTGAATAACACCAGTATTAAACGGGAGCACGGAAAAAGATAAAGATTGACATATGTATGTTGTTCTGTTCTGGGAGCAACTCGGAATTGAGCCTCAAAGAATAAGTTCACCTTTTAAAGAAAGAAAAAAAAACAATGCACATTTTTTCAGGTAAAACAATGAGCACATATTATTTTTTTTTTCTAAGGAGCCTGCAGAGCATTGCACCCAAGATCTGTAGGCTCCTGCAGACTCTCAGGATAGCTATCAGCTATATGGGCAGGCAGAGACCTGAGAGCAGGAAGATCAATGAACTACCAGAGCGCTCACCAGCACTCTCGTAATTCATTAAGGACTACCAGCCATCATATACAATGGCTGACGGTACTTGTAGGCTTCCATTCACAGGAAACCAAATGAATATTGCGGCCGTTTGAGAAGATCCCCTACCCGCTGTCACAGGGAGGGAGGATTGGGGGTGCTAGTTGGAAGACACTGGAATATGTTACATGTTCCAGCTTAAAAATGGGAGGAACATGTAACGTGTTCCAAAGGTGAACGTGTCCTTTAAAGGGCCTCCTATAATTTAGAAGTCTTTTTTGGGTGAAGATATTGAAAGAGCACTACGTGAAAGTGTTGGAACAGAAAAAACTGTTTTGCATTTGTAAGTAGAAGTGGATTATTCTTCTCCTTCCTGCTGTTCTTTCACATTTCATCCATTTTATTTTGCAGCGAATGGTTTTATTTATGATGTGACTGTGAAGTGGTGAATATTTTTTTGCACTGAAGTTATATACAGGTTATACTCGAAAAATTAGAATATCGTGCAAAATGTTTCTTTATTCATTTATTTCAGTAATGCAACTTAAAAGGTAAAACTAATATATGAGATAGACTCATTACATGCAAAGCAAGATAGTTCAAGCCGTGATTTGTCATAATTGTGATGATTATGGCTTACAGCTCATGAAAACCCCAAATCCGCAATCTCAGAAAATTAGAATATTGTGAAAAGGTGCAATATTCTAGGCTCAAAGTGTCCCACTCTAATCAGCTAATTAAGCCATAACACCTGCAAAGGGTTCCTGAGCCTTTAAATGGTCTCTCAGTCTGGTTCAGTAGGAATCACAATCATGGGAAAGACTGCTGACCTGACAGTTGTGCAGAAAACCATCATTAACACCCTCCATAAGGAGAGAACGCCTCAAAAGGTAATTGCAAAAGAAGTTGGATGTTCCTAAAGTGCTGTATCAAAGCACATTAATAGAAAGTTATGTGGAAGGGAAAAGTGTGGAAGAAAAAGGTGCAAAAGCAGCAGGGATGACCGCAGCTTGGAGAGGATGGTCAGGAAAAGGCCATTCAAAAGTGTTGGGGACTTTCACAAGGAGTGGACTGAGGCTGGAGTCAGTGCATCAAGAGCCACCACACACAGACGGATCCTGGACATGGGCTTCAAATGTTGTATTCCTCTTGTCAAGCTGCTCCTGAACAACAAACAACATCAGAAGCGTCTTACCTGGGCTAAAGAAAAACAGACCTGGTCTGTTGCTCAGTGGTCCAAAGTCCTCTTTTCTGATGAGAGCAACTTTTGCATCTCATTTGGAAACCAAGGACCCAGAGTATGGAGGAAGAATGGAGAGGCACACACTGCAAGATGCTTGAAGTCCAGTGTTAAGTTTCCATAATCTGTGTAGATTTGGGGAGCCATGTCATCTGCTGGTGTTGGTCCACTGTGCTTAATTAAGTCCAGGGTCAACGCAGCCGTCTACCAGGAGATTTTGGAGCACTTCGTGCTTCCTTCCGCAGACGAGCTTTATGGGGATGCTGACTTAATTTTCCAGCAGGACTTGGCACCTGCCCACAGTGCCAAAAGCACCAAAACCTGGTTCAGTGACCGTGGGATTACTGTGCTTGATTGGCCAGCAAACTCGCCTGACCTGAACCCCATAGAGAATCTATGGGCATGGCCAAGAGAAAGATGAGAGACATGAGACCGAACAATGCAGAAGAGCTGAAGGCCGCTATTGAAGCATCCTGGTCTTCCATAACACCTCAGCAGTGCCACAGGCTGATAGCTTCCATGCCACGCTGCATTGAGGCAGTAATTGCTGCAAAAGGGGCCCAAACCAAGTACTGAGTATATATGCATGCCTATACTTTTCAGAGGTCTGATATTGTTCTATGTACAATCCTTGTTTTATTGATTGCATGTAATATTCTAATTTTCTGAGATTGTGGATTTGGGGTTTTCATGAGCTGTAAGCCATAATCATCACAATTATGACAAATCGCAACTTGAACTATCTTGCTTTGCATGTAATGAGTCTATCTCATATATTAGTTTCACCTTTTAAGTTGCATTACTGAAAAAAATGAACTTTTGCACGATATTCTAATTTTTTGCGTTTCACCTGTATATTTTCAGACACACTCTCTCTCTATATATATTGTACTGTATATCTATATATATATCTATATATATATATAGAGATATCTATATCTATCTATATATCTATATATATTCACAGTATATACAAACACACACACTATATTGCTTCCACTTTGTTATAATACCATTTTCTAACCTCCAGTATTTATTCTGGTGACCAGAAATCTCTCTGTATAACTGTTTGCACCCTAGACATGTAAAATTGCAGCAAGAATGTTTATATTGTGCAAAATGTAATTCCTTCAGCCACCTTAGATCAGCACAGGCACCACACACCACTTCTAACTTGCCCTGTGTGCGTAGCACAGCTGAAGGAACACAACGTTTTAAAGCAAACTAATGAAAAATTAAACCTACTCATGCATATTATTTATACTCCATATATATTAATACATTTTTGTTAAGAATACATTAATGACTTACATCTAGTATTAACCTAAATGAAAGGAAAAAGGTCACTGATGTGCCTTGAACTTGCTTATTTTTAAAAGGTTAACACAACAATGTCAGAGTCTTGGCAGAAGTGCTCCAACACTTGTACCTGTGTTTAAAAATGAAGAGGCATTACACTGATTTAGGTAGGTTTTGTTCTTAAGAAGGTTCTGTTCTTAAGATTAGGCTTGTGTGTTTCTCAAATTTTAATTTTAGCATTTTAAGAAATGTAAATAAGTGCAAAAAGCCAAGCAGCAAAATAATGCATGCATAAGTCACAAAAGTCCTCTAACTCTGAAATAAAAGTCTGCCTGTAGAAATATTTCTCTCCCTACTTGTGCAGTATTTTATTTGGTTATTACAGTTTAGCTACATTGGTCAACATAAAAGAACATTTTGATAAATTCTATGAAACAAACATCCACAAATGCATTGTAATTCATATCCCTCAAATGGTAATAAGATTATCTGAAAAAGATTATCTTTGGATTTTAAAACCATTTAAGCAGCTCTCAGATATAGGATGGTACCCAGTTATGCAGTCATCTAGCCACTGCAATGTACAGCAACCAGTGTTACAAGTAGTTCCTTCATATAC